ATATATATATATATACATATATATATATATATATATATATATATATATATATTTTAGGAGAAGCATCAAGTCTTTTCAAGTCGAGTCTCAAGTCTCAGTCTATTTTATCAAGTCCTAAAAATAGTAACTCAAGTCTGACTCGAGTCCAAGTCACGGTTTCCATGTCCCCACGTCTCCTACCAAACCTAATATCTTTCAATTCAAATACAATCTACAATATTATTTGAAATCATCTTAAATCTAATGAAGTTTAAAAACACAGAGGAGCACTACATTACTCTGTGTTACCGTGTCTGCACCAACTTCAGAAAGTACGTTTAAGGTGCGCTGCGGAACTTTTTGGGTGGAGTGAGTGCAGCCGACTTGTCACCACGGAGACGTTACCTGGAACTTTACTTTTTACTTTTTTACTAACTTTACCTGGAATTAAATGCATCTCCACGGCGACAGTTACAGGTCCGTTCTCCGTTAATGCTTTTAAAACACTTAAGTGCTCAAAGGTGCACTGCGTAACTTTTCTCTGGGGGGGTCTGTCACCTGCTTGTTTCCGTGGAGATGTCGTTGCTCTGCCTGGAATGTTCCACAGTGTGACTTTAAACAGCTCCACTTTACATTTATTCAATTACAGGTGGTTTTAGAGCTCCAAAAATACCTAGAAAAACAGGCGTTCTGAGTAAGAGCGCGTCGCCTCGCCGCAGATCCGACCTGTAACGGGATCTGGTTCGGTCTCCGTGAAGATAGAACGGTTTAATGCCATACTGTGGAACATTCCAGACAAAGCAATAGCATCTCCACGGAGAAAAGCGCGTGGTAAAACCTACACCAGAAAAGTTGCACAAAAGAACTGCTCGATAAACAAACGTAAGATCACACTCCACGGAGACGGCCAGGTGGCAAAAAAGTCCCGCAGTGTGCTTTAACGGAGGAGTCGTTACCATGGCCTTGATGCCCTCGGGAAACAGGAAGCGGTTGTAGATCGTGTCCACGGTGTCGTTGGGCTCCACCTCACACTCCCTCTGCAGCAGGATGGGCCCCGTGTCCAGACCGTCGTCCGCCCAGAACACGCTGAAGCCCGCCTTCTTATCCCCGTGGATCAGGGTCCTGCAGGGAGACCAAGCAAAGGGTCAGAACACACAGAACACGCTGAAGCCCGCCTTCTTATCCCCGTGGATCAGGGTCCTGCAGGGAGACCAAACAAAGGGTCAAAACACACAGAACACGCTGAAGCCCGCCTTCTTATCCCCGTGGATCAGGGTCCTGCAGGGAGACCAAGCAAAGGGTCAAAACACACAGAACACGCTGAAGCCCGCCTTCTTATCCCCGTGGATCAGGGTCCTGCAGGGAGACCAAGCAAAGGGTCAAAACTAGGGCTCGACCGATATGGATTTTATTTTTTGTGGCTGATATGATACAGATAAAATTGGAGTTGGAGGAGCCGACAGTCTATATAAAAGACGATATATTTAGTGATGTAAAAATTCACCGTAAAGCTTCAGTTGATTATAAAAATTAAGTTTGGCTCTACTGGATTCTAAATTAGGTTTGTTTAGGCGACATTTATTGTTATTCTGCGTCTTTAAGTCATATTTAAAAACAGTAGGTTGGACTAACGGCATTTTTGCATCACATTCGAGCCTGTAAACAAAGTAAGTAAACTACAGCTATCGGCCTTTAGCGGTAAATGCATGTGCACCACGGTTATTAATTATATGCGCAAATACGTCTATTCACTGCTAGTGAACACTACTAGAACAATGTAAGAAAACAGACTGTTTATGTGGAGCTACAGCAGCTAAATGAGACTGAACCAAAAGTAGCTTTAAAACCGACACATTTGCATCACTCAGCCTCACACATGCTCCTCTCAGATCACAAGTCTGAACTGATAAGTTTGATAAAAACAACAGTAGTTTTTTTGTTGCCTAAACTGCGTTGATTAATTTATTTATAGTCAGTATCATAGTTCAGACACAAGGCACATGTCTCTAATACAGATTTAATATGATCTCGCGAGCCAAATATAATTATATCGCGGGTCAAATTTGGCCCCCGGGCCGGAGTTTAACATGTCTGCTGTAGAGAGTCTTCTAATCTCTCGACTATCGGCCCAGATCAGCAAGATTTAGGCCGATATGTCTCCAAGTGCCCACATCAGCCGATAATATCAGCCAACCGATATATCAGTCGCGCCCTAGTCAGAACACACTTAAGTCCACCTTCTTATCCTCGTGGATGAGCGTCCTACAGGGAGACCAAACAAAGGGTCAGAACAGACAAAATCGTGAAATTAAAACCCCAGGATCATGTAGAGCGAGTTAAGATGAACATTTCAAGACCAAAATGACGAGGCTCACTGCAGGGACGACAGGTCATAAGGACAGGTTTATTACTAATACTACGATAAATACTACTACTACTGCTACTACAATAACTACTACTACTACTACCTACAGCCAGCACCATGAGTCCAACTGTGTAAAAAACTCATCTTTGGCTGCTG